CACGCGCACTCGATTTGTGAATTTTCTCGCTGACAGGTCATGTGCATATACGTGCACCATTCTGGCCCACACTTGCCTAGACGGCATTATCGTGAGTGGGGATAGCCACAAGGTCTATTTCGAACGCACTGCTGATCATCACAACCGACACGTTCACAGATCATCTACTGCTTACGATCTACCGCATGATCTTCGTGGAGGCAGAGCGACGTCGGGAAGAACGCCAAGCGATGCGTTCGGGTCAAGTCGTCGCGCGGTCAAGTGCTCGAGATATTTCTTCCTCTGGCCCTCGTCGAGGCGTAGGGGTGCGTTGGGTGCGAGAGTCCACCAAATCCACCAACGCCGCCTCATCTTCGTCCGCGCTCGAGGAAGACGAGGATCGGATGACTTCTGGTAGAGGAACGATCTGGAAGAGGTTGCTCGAGGGTATGCCCTTTTATAGACCTGATGTGCTCAGCAAACGAGGTGGAGGAATGGCCGGAAGCGATTTGAACTCGAAAGAGTTGCGACCTGGCGAGGCTCTCCAGGGCCTCGGACAAGGTACCGAACGAAGCTTGGCCCTGCGTGAGCATCGTTGGCTGGCGTTGGCGCTACTCTAGCTGATACACAATCTTATCCTGCAGATACCGCGGCGACTTTGTTTTTGAAGCACGGTCATGTGCTGCTCTTTGATGAGCTGCAGCTCGTCGACGTCTCTTCCGCTTCTCTCCTGAGGCAAATTTTGACTGCGTACTGGTAAGCCGAAGCGTTGCGAATGCACAAATTTTTCAAAGCAAAGCGCGCTCATCGAACCTTTCTTGCCACGTCCCCAGGTTCTTGGGAGGCGTCATCATCGCCTCTTCCAATCGTCTACCTGAAGACCTCTTTGCCAACCACGTGCAAAGAAGAGCCCTGACGGAGTTTTTGGACGCCATGAGAGAGCGCTGCGAGGTGATCGAGATTGGAGGAGAAAAGGATTGGAGAAGGGAGTGGGGAAAGGAAAAGCTTGATGCGGAGGATGGTGGGGAGGTGTTTGAGAGCAGGAGAAAGGAGCTGAGCTTCTTCGTTCAGGGTGTGGATGATAGGGCATTTGAGAAATGCGTGCTGGGCGTCGTAGGACAAAGAAAAGGTGCGTGCGTTGTCATGCTTGTAACAGGCGCATCGACCATGGGCTTACATCGGTTTTGGAATGTCTGTATGCATGTAGGTGAACCAGCAGAGGTGCCGGTCTATGGACGGAAAGTACTGGTGCCTCTCTCCTACGAAGCTACCTCAACCCAGGCGCCGGCGTGTCGTTTCGCCTTCAAAGATCTTTGCGACACGCCCCTTGGACCGGCTGATTATCTGTCCATCGCGAGCACCTACAGAACGGTGCGTGCAAATATCACGACCAATTACAAGCTCATTTGCGCTCAATGCTGCACCTCCACCTTTATTCCACCACATCGCAGATCATCCTCGACTCGGTACCTCAACTCTCTCTCGCTCAGAAAAACCAAGCACGAAGATTGATCACGCTCCTAGATGCGATCTACGAAGCGGGATGCGATCTGGTGATTCGTGCCAGCTCATCTCCCGACGATCTATTCTTCCCCAAAGAACGAGAAGAAGCAGCTCGCGAAGAACAAGAAGGGATCGATGCGGATTCTTCGCAGTTGATTCAGAGCGAGACGTTGAGCGAGGCGCTGCAGGATACAGAGGAGGGCTTCAGACCCAATATTGGAAGTTATAAGGAGCGTCAAGAAAGGGACGCGAGCGTTGCATTCGACCCTGATGGAGAAGGTGAAGCGTTGCAACATTTGCAGCAGCGAGAGAAACGCGGCCGGAGAGCAGAGCCGGGTAGGTTGAGCGAAGAGCAAGAAAAAGAGCGAAAGTCTGGCGACGGCAATTTCATGAGCTTGGCCATCTTCTCTGGTAAGTCCGCCTCCGACCACTTTATGTCCCTACACTTTCTTCCTCGCGCTCAATCCTTTCTTCCTCGAATCCATAGGCGAAGATGAGCGCTTCTCGTACCAGCGCGCAGTTTCGCGTCTTCACGAGCTCTCGCGAACAACGCGACAGTGGAGACCCTTTTTGGAGGAAGAGATGGATCATTGGAGCGGAATGAGCAATCGAAAGAGTGTCTCGGACGCACCCCTTACCAGGAAATACTACTCGGACGCTGCCACCACCACCACCTCCTACGACTCCAAGACGCTCTCGGGTGAAGGCGAGGATTTTGGCGATGAGGCCGCGTTCGTCGTGAGTAGCCTGCGTGCATAGAAATATCTCTCCCTCCCCCCGCGCCACAGCCGACAAGCACGAAGCTGACTTTTGCGAACCAACTCGTTCGGCAGGGCTCGACGATTTCCTCTAATCAGACATCTTCAAGTGCATCGCGCAGACATGTCAAGCAGGAACAGGATGGCGCGCCGAGATTGGGAGAGCAGCACGCTTGGGGTATGAGAGAGTGGGGCAAGGATAGACTTCGACACGAAGATCTGGAAGAGCTGCCCAAGGAGAGGAGAAAGAGGCTCAGAGAGGAGAGGCTCAAAAGTACTAGTGAGAGCCGATAATCAGCAACGTGCCCTTTCTCATGTGGACACCGATGCTTGGAAGCTTGCTCCACGTGCAGTTACACCGCTAGATCTCCACAATACTTCTCGCACGGTCCATACCTTCTGACCTGGAAATAGACACGCCAAGCATCGTCACGCTCAATTTGCATCCTGTGTACCATTTCGGTTCGCGGAGCTCTCGCATCAGAAGGCGCTTCTGGCAGTGCTACCTCGGACTTCGAATTGTCTGTCAGCGCAAGGTGGGATTGCGATCAGCACTGTCTGCTCAAGCGCCAGGCCAGAGATTGACTCACCTCTTGACGAAGAAGACTTGAATGCCACAAACGCCAATGAGCATGATGCCCTGCAAGATGCTCCACCACTTCACCCTAGAATTTGTCGATTCGGCGGCTAATGATGCGAAGCAGCGCAGCGCAGCGCAGTGTCAGCTACGAGTGTTACCGCCTCACGACCCGCTCGCACTAGCTCACTGTTTCTGTGCACTCGTTCACGAATGACGAGGTACTCTTGCTCGTCCTTTACTTGCTGCAGCGCTGCTGCCAAGTCCCTAATCTCGCG